TAAAAGTAACTGTAAAATTCGTTACCGTTACCAAAAAAATGTAACTTCGTTACCGTTACAGTTACCAAAGAAAAAAAGTAACGCAGTTACTAGTAAAGTTACCAAAAAAGTAACTTGTAACTGTAACTTCGTTACAAGTAACGAGTTACTTCCATTCCCTGAAGGTATCTCTGTCAATTTAAATTATAAATATTCTCTCTCTCTTTCTTGTTGAAAAGTAAGTTAAAAGTTTTGTATTATCATTAAATATACGCACTCTTTTACGCACTGCTGAGAATCACTACTTTCTTTCTCTCTCTCTCTCTCTCTCTCTCTCTCTCGTATAATGTTTGATAGTAATTTTTCCAACTACGCTATAAAGATTGAACACAACTGCGAGTGTCTTAATTTCTCGACGTTGCATCACTAGTACCAGGCTTGTGTCGATAGTCTGTTTATCTCTAAGAAACTATAACAGATATTGATATAAATTGTATACAGATATTAATATAAATTGTATAACTTTTTCTTCAAATAACACAAAAAATATATATGTAGATACAATACCTTAAAACTCTTACTGTCATCACATATCTCTATTTGAATTTTAATCTTGTTATCGCTCGTATTGCGAATTGTAAATTCTTTACAATTTCACTTTTTCCTGTTTCTACACTGTTCCATACTAGGGCAGCGTGTGTGTAGCTCTAATTGGAATTACATGTCCCGTTACAGCTAAACTAGATACTGTACCGATTGGTGAATTTCTATCGCAAGGTCCAGATCTATACATAAAAAGATTATTGCTTATAATAGTAGTAGTAATAATAGTAATAATAATAATAATAGTAATAATGCACGTATGCGTATATATAAACCTACCTATTAGAAGTTGCACTTTGTGGCGGTAATATTGCTGGACTTAGAGATACAACATTATTAGAGAGGTGTATGGCAACGTAAATAATTTTCTTTTTCCGATTCTAATAATTTTTGTTCGGTACTTATAATGTAGTGGTAAACATTGTTTACCCGGCAACTAACTTAATTTTCGCATATCTGAAGAAATACCAATAAATAATTAAAAATAGTACAATAGACAAATAAATTTATAATTTACAAATTAATTATTACCTTTTATTATTTACAGAGTTTGCATCTGAAAATTGTGGTTTAAATACAATTAAAAATGAACTCCTTTCTCCAACTTGCAAAAATATATCATCTGGCTTTATAAAAAAATCTTGCGTCGCGTTTCAATATCCTTCAAATGCGGTAGAAACGATAGAAGCGAAGGTAATTATACAGTTTAGCCGCTCACCTAAAAAATCGATGAACATAGGCTCATTCGACGCGTTTTTGCTTAAAACGAAAGAATCTGGCAGAAATAAGCGTCGCTCTGCCCCGCGAACCGAGTTATTAAGCGTTAAAGTTGACGATTTCAGGTTAGGAAATCTGTCATACCGACGTTACGTTCAGGGCCGGAGACTTTATATTTGAGTGGGTGTTGAGCTCTTGGAATTTTGAACCTAACCTAACCTAACCCTAAACTAACCTAAAATACCTAAAATACCTAAAATACACGTGAAATTGCCGCGTCAAGGGCTTTCTGCCATATTGGATTTGAGTCTAGCTAGTTAAGCTGCTCGCAC